CTTGGTGAAATCCTCAACTGTGATTTGATGTGGTTTTATATTTTTCAGGGTTACATAGAATAGACTGCTAAACTTATTTAAATCTCATTCTCTGAATCTTTTTCTTGGGTGATTATGATAAGTTAAAATTTATATTGCAGTGCTTCACTAAAAACTTGATTTGCATCCAGCTGTTAAGGAAAATACCCTGTGAAACCTGGAAGTGGATATTGCAATGTACAAAGATTTACTTATGTAAGACATGGGATAGATCATTTAATTTCAAATGAGCTTGAAGTCTTTTCTTTTAGCAAATTCATTACATACCTTGAGGGTTCACCTTAGATTCTCCAATGGATGGATGTTCCTCATCAGTGCTTATGTCTATGTCACTATATGAAGCTTTCGTTTCCGAGAAGCATGCAGTTTTTAGCTAAGAGTATTATTGACTACCATAGAATCCAAATAATCTTTAATCCTTGATTCTTAAATATTGTGTAATTTGTATTGGAATAAAAATAACTAGAGAAGGAAGAACTGGTTATTCAATTCTAAAAGCATGAATGTATCAGCTGTACTCCGCAAGATCAAGAGAAATCAATGTATCTGAAACGTCTCTGTAACCTATTCTTGTATGGCTATATGTGGTGGCATTGAAGCAATATGATATAGCCAGCTCAAAAGTTGCAAAAATTATAGTTATTTTAGGCCCCGATTGATGCTTTTGCTACTTATTTTCCACTCTTTGCTTAATTGCTATAAAGCGAAGGAAATGATAAAAAGCAATATTATAATTGATTTTAAGTAGACAAATAATTGAAATCTGACACCAATTATATCTTAACTTGTCTATATAGAAATAGAATCATGCATTTTGCCATCTAAAAGAATTACATACTTTTGTCCATGATCATTCAAAATTTTGTATCCATTTACTCATCTTTTGCTAAATTTTTCTATTTTCAGGTGATTGATGAATTTGATGAGAATGTACATTTTGTTGAAATTGACATCGAGGAAGATCCAGAAATTGCAGAAGCAGCTGGAATTATGGGTACCCCATGCGTGCAGTTTTCCAAAATAAAGGAGATGCTGAGGTTGGTTAATCTTGTTCTTATCATACATTTTTCTTTGCACCATGCCTGTATTTTTATTTCTCTTCTTCAATCTTCTTGCAAAATGAACTTGTCATATAGTTCATCGATGATTAGGCTTGTTGCAAAAGATATGCAATCACAGATAAAAGTTATGGTGTCCAAGGTTGTTAGTTCTTGGCGGCCACCAATTCTTTTGTGCTGGTTATGCAGGACTGTATCGGGGATCAAAATGAAGCGAGAGTACAGAGAATTCATTGAAGCGAATAAATGAGAGTTATGATCATCACGATGTCAGATTTCTAATTTGGTAGGAAAAATGCTACTGTTTTGTGTGTACTTATTTGATTTTGATTAACAAATTCCAATCATCATTGTTTAAAATGTCAAGTGCTCATCATATATATAATAATTAGACCCCTTAATGTTTTATTGACATATAATTCAATTTTAACGAAATTTGAAATATTTTATAATATCAAGATTTTAATTACAATAAAATCAAATTTTAAAACTTTAATTTCATTCAATAAAAGATTAAGAATTTTTTTTTAATTTTTTATAAAATTTGAAAGCTTATTTGAGTATGAATATATTAAGATATTCTAATATAAATAATAAAAATATAAAATAATTTATTATATTAAATTTAAAAAACATTGTTGATTAAATCATTATAAAATTATATCGATAATGAAATGTTGACAATATATGTAATATTAATAAATTTTACAAAAGTTAATGATCAAATTGTTAATTTTTTAAAGTTGGATGATTAATACAAAAACTCTTGAAAAGTTCAAAAACTAAATGTTTAATTTATTTTTTTTAATATTCAAATTTTAAAAGAAATTATAATATCATTTTGATAACGTTACATAACATATCAAATGAAATGATAATGTCACGTAATGTATGTAAAATAATATAATTTTCCCATCATATCGATAGTCATCTTCTACCAATGGATAATCAAAAAATTTAATTTTAAAAATATTATTAATCCAATTTTGATTTTTTTAATTGAATCATTACAATATATATATGTATAATTTTAGTGATTAAACATATAATTTATCTAAAAAATATAAAATCTTATTATTATTATTATTTAACATCTTCACGTCATCTACACGTAGACAGACAATCCTTTGTTGAAATATATATATATATATATATATATATATATATATATAATTAATCCAAAACCCGATCATCTGCAACTTCTTCAATTCCCCATTTATTTATTATCATATATATATATATATATATATATATATTTACAATCGACTTGCAGCGCAATATATTTAATTGGTTGTGTCATTTGTTTAAGAAATGGCCAAGATCGCCTGCATGTGCCCTCTTATTTTCTAACCATTGTTTGAACTCCGTAAGATTTCACCTATTGATTTTCTACATTTCTTGCTGCTATACGTACACCTATTTACGGACCGGACAAGGTTATACGGTGACAACATTATTAGATTTTTCTGCAACATTTAGCTTTACAGACACATATTTCTAGCTTCAACAGCAAGATCTTGTTACTATATATAATATAATATTTATCTACATGGTTGCCCGGATTTAAATTGTAAATTATAAAAAATATAATGAATGTCTTGGGTAGAACAATATTCTCTTGAAATGTCCGATTCCAGGCCTCCCTTTTGCATGCCTGCTCGTGCTACATGCCATTATTAGTAAAGCGCTAGGGACAAGATCACAACGTTACTAATATTGAGAAAATCTTGGACCTTTTTTTTTTTTTTTAAAGTGAAAATCTTGTACTTAATTATCTAATTAATCTCCTAATTACACATGGAACTACTTGACCAAGTCGTTATTCACCAAAAAAACTTCTCCAAGGCGCAGTGGGTTCCATAAATGATAATAGTTATGTCAAGTTTTATAAAATTTTTTATTAAAATGATAAAGTAAAAAATTAAATAAAAAATAGAATTGATAATTGAATTAATTAATAAACTTTGTTCACATATGCATTTAATTAATTAATTGTTCTTATATTTTTTTATCCACTCATTAAACTTAAGAAATATATCAGTCTTTTTTTAATTATCTTTAATTAATAAATGATTTTACAAATTTAATAATGTAATTAATTAAGGACATCTTATTTTTACCTCAATTTTATTTGTCCCTATAAATGATATTATAAAAAAAAGGAATAATATAATGAAGTCACAAAATACTACTTTTAATAAGTCTTAATTATGCCTCCAATGAAAAGGACATGTATCATAAACCTTTTAATAAAAATGAGGACATGGGGTTTTGGTCCTTCTAGATTAAAGGCTTGTTCCTTTCTCCAAAGGGTAGCTTTCTTGCCTGCTTTTCTTGTTTTAAAATCTTTGTTGTTTTCTTGATTATAGTACTTTGCTTTGCTGCATAAAATATATTTTGCTGGCTTGGATTACCAGATCCAGATCTTTCTCATGTGGCCTTGATATGCATGAGTTGTTGCTTTGTTCTTCAAATATATTTTTTCTGAATTGGTAAATTCTTGTAATTTTAGATTTCAATCTTTTATTCTTGCAATTTTAACTTTTTTTTTTATCATCTTTTGATTTAATTTTATTTGTAAAAAAAATTAATTAATTAATTAATTAAAATGATATATATAAAGAAGTGATTAATATTTAATCATGTGACGTATTGATCAAACATAAACTATTAATTTTAATCATAACATTTAATTTTCGACAATTTCAAATACCTAAAAGTATTAAAACTTTAAGATATCAATTCAAATGTTCATTAATGTGTACGAGAAAGGATTGTATAAAATAATTACTCTGCAATAACATAAAACTATTTTTATTTAAATCAATGCTACATATTCATATTATTAAACAAATTAATTATTTATTATATATTACATGTGATGATTAAATAATAAATATTTATTTTAATAAACTCATGCTTGTAATATATAATAAATAATTAACTTTTTTTCATTAATATAATCAAATAATATGATTTGAAAAAAAATAATATATACTGACATAAAATAATTTTTTCATACAATTTTTTTTTACCTAAGAATTCGATCAATTATATTTGATTTACTATATGCGATTATTGATTTTTCGGTGATTGTATTACTGATACATGTAATTTTTATTTTAAAAAAAAGGCAGGGAAAAACATGCATATATATATATATATATATATAGGAAGCATGCATGGGAGACATTTTTCCAGATACGAAGGAGATTTGATTTGTAGATAAGGCGCGGCAGGGATATTCTAATTGGAGGATGTTTTTCTTGGTGGGAAATTAGTGTTGGGTCACTTTTCGGCTACCTATCACCAGACCGTCCATCGGTAAAGAGCGGGTGCGCTTGGTGAAAGCTGAAGCCAGGCTCCCACCTGCCTTTTTTTTTTTTTTTTCTAAGCTATATAACAAATTCCCTCTCATATTCTATGTATGTGAACCAAACACGAATAATTAATTTTGTTTATTGTTTAAAATATGTTTTGATAAGATAAAATTTTATTAGTATTAGTATTTTTTATTATTATTTTATATAAATACATATATGCAATTAATGTATTTTTTCACTAAAATAAAAAATATGTAATGTATTAACAACATATTTTAATTTAAATATCACCTTAATTCGTATTATCAAGCACGGATTAACATTTTCTTTCTTATATCCTTTTAACATATATATTAGAAATTAAATTCGTATAAACCAACGTTTCTTTTTGAGGCGTACGCTCGTAATAATGGCTCTCCAAACCTTGAACTTAATTTAAATAGATAAAGAATTTAATGAAGTTAACTTTTTGAATAATAAAATATTTACATACATTTATAACATTGAATAAAATATTCATATTTTTCTATTTAAATAGAAATCATAATTAATTTACAAAAGAAATTCGACCTCCCTTTTTTTTATGTTTGAGGTCAAATTTTTTAGCATTGATTACAAGCCAAAAGAAATGAAAAAAAAAAAGGAAAAAGAAAATAGAGAAACCGTAGAGTACATTAATACATCTTTCCATCATATGAAAAAAAAATTAAAATGCATGATACAGGTTACTGCTAAACAAGCAATTCCAAATAGAAAAATACCCTTAATTTATTTCTTGATGAATCTATAATCTTCATAATCTAAGGAGAAAAATGCTGAGTTCAGGGCCTCCATTGTTATCAGGGTTCATCATGTAAAACGCTTCCGAGTCACGACTCCCCACGACTCGTTCAAACCTAGCCCTCATATACAGCAACTCACCTTCACTCCCACCACCTTTCCCTGCATCCTCCACCACCGGAATAACCCCAGCACCGACTGACACGCTTTGCACGGTTCTCAGAACGTGCAAATCCGAATCAGTGCACGTGCGCGTCACCGCGTACCCACTCTTCCTCCCGTTACAATACATAGTCCACTTAGGCTCATGGAACAATCTCCCGGTTCGATCCGGTTGAGCTGCCGTTCGAAGCGGAATCTTCTCGCACTCGAGCGCAATCCGGACCAAACCGGATGACATTTCTTTGACTAAACTAGACGTTGACATTGCTAGTTCGAGGAGAAAAACCGGTTCGGAACGGGGATCATCCTGGACGGCGAAGCTGACGTGACCGCGGCGGTGGCCGAAGAGGGTTCCCGTTACTTTGCGGCCAAGGGAAGGGGTTATAGAGAGGTGAGTTGGGAGGGTTAGCCATTTGCAAGTGGCGGGGATTATATTGGGAAAAGCTATTATTTTGAGAAGGGAACGAATGAGAGAAGAGAACCTAGAATTGACATTATTGAAACGTTGAATGGAAGAACTACGTGGGGATGTTGACGTTTGTCCAGGGGCAAGGAGTTTGTCAGAGAATTCTTCGTTTTCAGGGATTGGGAGTGAAGTTGATCTAGAAAGGTTTGATGGGGTTATCTTATTTCTTATACTTTTGTAGTTGTAATTGTTGTAGCTGCTGCTTCTTTGAAGGGTTGTGAGTTCTTGATGGTGTTTCATGGTACAAACACAAACACTAAAAAAGCAAAGAAAAATGATCAGTAAGATTGTAGAGAAGTACTAGCCGGAGATTGATATCAGGAAAGTGATGAAGATTTTGATGGAAGCAAAGGAAAGAAAAACAAAAGTGCTTGCTTTTGTTGAGATTGATCAGTTATGGGAGATAGGAAAAATGGGAAGGAAATTGGCCGACAAATGTGATGATGAGTGTTAGAAGTGGCCAATGTAAAGGGAGACTATGGAGTCTTGTGGGCTGTGGCGACGATGATTTTATTTCATACACACGCAGCAACACCCTATTTATATATATACACAGTGTTTTCCAAAACTTTTTGTATGTTCTCAACAGCTCTGAGTGCCATCATATGATCACTGTTTGTTTCCATCCATATCCAGTGATCTCCACCGTTCATTACATTTGGATCACCGAATTGATAATCTGAGTAATTTCATTGTCCTAAAAATTTAAACTAATAAAAAATCTGATTATTATATTTAAATATATTTTTCTACTAACATCATCATCTTGCTCGTTCAAGAGGAAATTTGGGGCTACATTCATAAGTTCATTTCCTTACTATTAATCTTCATTAAGTAGTATATAAAAGAGTTTCTCTTGCTTATTAGGATCCATAATTGTGAATCAAAGTTAGCTTAGTTGATTCAAGTAATCACTCTTAAAAAAAGACGTCTAATAAATTTTAAATTTAAATTTTAACATTTCAACCTCTTCTCTAACTTTTAATCTAAAGACTGTTATTTATCCAAAAAAAAAAATCCATATTTATCATTTTAGCAATGTTATTTATTTCAAAGAGTTATAAATTGCATTCAAATGCAATAAGATGTGATTTATCAAAAGTTTAAAAAATCAAGACTGATATCAATTGGATTAAGTTGTTCATGCAATTTATATGTATATGAATCGGAAATTCTGATTTAATATATAATTTTCAATCATACTAATATAACCTATTTTTTATTTTTCAATCTTTTGAAAAATAAAAAATATTCAAGCTCAATTCTTGGAGAAAATTACATGAATGCTTAAACGCTCGATGTTATGTTATATTATATATATCTAACAGGAATAATATATACTATACATAGTTTTTGTTTTAAGATTTCATGTTGAGCGTTGGATGAGAATCGATGAGGGTTTGAAGTGGTTGAAATGAAACATGATGCCGACGTAAACAATGGCAAAACAGGTTTTGACTTTTGTGTCCCACTTTCATTTGAAGTGGTCTAATGCAAAGTCCATATAAGCAGTTATGAAGAGGCAGAAAACATGCCTTTCCCAGCAGGCCAGGGCCATTATTTTGTGCTTCATGAATTTTTTGCTTGGTGAGTTCTTGTTCCTTATCGTTGATGATGTAGAGGTTTAAGCTGGAGATTTTGTTTTTTTTGCTTTTTCAAAGTTCTAAGGTTTTAATTTATATTAATTACTAGTATTATTAAATTATTTTTCTCAAATTAAAAAGATTTTTAAATGGAAAGGCCCACATAGGAAAAAAATGTGCAGGAAAATGAAGGTGCCTGATGTGTATATGTGCAGTGGCAGTAATATAGAGATAAGAAAAGAAGGGTGACGAACATGATGACGAGGTCAATGCAAAACTATGTTAACCAGAGGGCGGTTTGTCCCCATCTATTTGGAAACCCAAACCCTCCTCAAAAACCATTATTTTTTTCTTATTTAATCTCTAAAAACTTAATAATTTTTCCATACTAATATTTTCAATCAACATCGATAGTTAAATTTTTTTTTAAAGAGTTTTTGAACGGTTCCAAACCAAGCATGCTCTCGAAGCCACGACCATTAATCAGTTTGGAGGACTAGGGATATTGGCCATGGATTATGCCACAGGGCAAGAAGATCACCACTCAAAAAGGCTGAGATTTAATTTCTTATTGTTCTTTTATGTCATCTTAATTCTACCAGCAATTTCGATTGCATCACCATCACCCTTTGTTTATTTACATGATTGAGATTATTTTCATTAATAACTGTAGTTTTTCCATGACCTTAATTTATTTATATACATAATAATTAAATAACTCTTAAATATAAATTTATATACATCAAATATAATATCTTTACATATAATGAAATTTAAATTTTAGATTTAGTAGTTCAAAAGTCTGTTCCCTCATCATCAAATTAAGATTTCTCAATGACATAATTGTGATTTTTCCACCACTTAAATTTAGAAATTGTTGTCCTAACAATTAAAACTTAAGATTCGTTTATGAATCTCGATTAAAAAAAAAGTAAGATTTAAATATGAAAGAAGGTTATTTTCTATTATACATATAATATGATACATTAAAAAAATTTTGAATTCTTGAAATTCAATATTTTATGTAGGATAAAGGAAACCGAGAAAAAATTTCCTTTCTTTTGTATAATCAGCTGATAGAACAAAAAGAAATTAAAAAAAAAAAAACGTAATAAAATAATAGATTAAATTATATTAGAAAGTAGATTTGAGGTTTATTTAATTAAGCGGCAGGTAATATGGTGACGGTGTCTATAGTTTTGATGCATGCATGCTTGCTTTTATTAATTAGGAACCCTATATATGGTCACAAATGCATTTCTGTTCCTAAATGACGTGGGATAATATATATATATATATAAACTATTTTATTTCGTGTAGAAAATTAGATATAAGTTTTTCTCTGTATAACTACTTAACACTTATATTAATGTCGGCTGAAATTAAAATATTTTAATTATTTTAATTGCTGTAAGTAATTAAAATATCTAAAAAGATATATATATATAATAATAATAATAATAATAAAATATTTTAATTATAGGATTAATAAAATAATTTTTTATTTCAAATGTATTTTTTCACTGTAAAAACATCTCATGAAAAGTTTTTTTGTTTAGGCTGAGAAATCAAAATTTTAAACTAAAAGGTTAAAATTTTTTTTTATTGTTTAGCATTACGTTTGGATCAAAAATAATTTTTGAACGCAAAAAGCTACTTTCAACAATAAGTTTAGAGTTGATGAAAAAAAGGAGAATTTGTTGCGAAAGAAATCTAGGTCATATCATGTGTGAGCTATTGGGTAACCTAATTACAAGCTTAAGCACAAACAAATAGACCAAGCAATGAAAGTGAAATTTGAAAGCTACCTCTAACTGCTGATGGATGATCAACGAATTACGACCCCAATGCAATATGTTATGTGGTTAAGACTATTTTCAACCACACAAAGTGATCCTTTTCATTTCTTCCCTGTTTCTTTGTTCCTCTATATTGGTCCAAACAGGATAGGAAAGGAAATAGACAGCCAATTGCATTAGGCAGGGGTAATTAATATGGCCTTCTTCAACTGCAAAATCATTGAAAGAGCGAATAGCTGACCCCCTACCCCCAATCTACAACACCACACAGAAGTTGCTTGTATTGGCCAATTGTATTTTACATCAGCAAGTTGAAATTTGAACAATTAGACTAATTACAATAAAGTCTTTTTTTTTTTTTTTCATTTTGTTTGCAGACACTACTAGTGTATAGAGCACTAAACAATCTGCACGTTGTGCGACCAACATGAGATAGGCCTGTGTCTAGTTCGCAATTTGCATATAGAATGTGCTGAGTGATCTAAAGCTTTGGTAACCATGATATCACAGCACCGATCAATATATAATATAGCCTAAAGAGATGATTTACTGTTTGAAGAAATTGAAACTAGAAGGTTTTTTACATTGGAAAGGGATAAATGCCATATTGTCAATGTCACTCTGAGGCCAATTGGCTCCCTGAATCAGTGCTGACAGGTTCAATCTTTGCCACTTTCCTCTTGCGGCCAACATCTGATGACAACCTGAGAGACAATCACAATATCGGCACATGATGAGTCTAGTTGAAAACTCTGAAATATAAATGAAGTAATAGAAAACTATGAAATGGAAAAGAAGTAATTAGTTGAATGGTAGATAAGTCATTTTCTTTTTCAAGAAAATGGGTCCATTCAGGACCCAACTTTAATACAGGTCCAACCAAGCATGAATTTTACTTGCTATTATTGCTTGCACTAGTTACAGCCTAAAGCTCTTCCTGGATTCTTGGCATCTTAAGTAAACCCTCACAAACATATAGCTCGCTTGTCATGGATATTGCATGCGACTGTTAAAATGACCAAAACATAAATGATAAAAATATGAGATCAGACTAGGCATTCAGGAAGAGAAAGACCGGGCATGAACCTCAGGCTTCACCTAGATATGGTTTAACAACCTCCCTTTGGAGGTGGATTTCCCGCTACTTTTGGGTTCTAGTATCAGGCTCCCAGTTGTTGCATTCCCCCTTCCCCAATATTATAATGAACAAAAAAAAAAAAAAGAATTAAAGGGGATAAATGTTAAAATAAAATGTGAATGACAAATCTGTAACATACCCTAAGTGCAAGGAGGTGTCTGAATGATCATTGTCATCGTTATCATCATCATCCTCGTCTGATGCACAATCACGATCAGCCTTTGGACTCGTGGGGGAGAATCTTATTTGCAGAGGATTGAATTCAAGTAAATTTGGGCTTGTTTTTTGTTGCAGTTCCTCAACCTTAGTACATTAGGTGGAGCAAATAAAAAATTAGTGAAAATAGTATATTACATATTTGAAAACCTTAAAAAAAAACTGCCTTTTTACTACATATAACAGTTGGTTCTGTGGTACCTGTTTGCGTAAAGTCTCATTCTCTTGTATAGCCTTCTGCTCCTGAAAATGAAGATTAAACCAGAAAGTATTAATTGCAATCATTTAATTGCTAAAGATATCAACCTGACATAAGAGCATGGTTTTAAAGTTCTAATATGCTTTTTCTGCAGTCATTAGCATGGGGCCTCTACAATGTGCTTAATAGGAACAATTTAAGTAAAAGATGAAAAGCTTATGTCTTGAAATTGAGTGCTGAAAACCCTTTTAAAAACCCCAAAAGTAATGGAACAGTGAGCACCATCACATAGTAATAAAATTAGAAAAACTAATAAAAACATGCCTTTACAACTCTCATTTGGTAGACGGACAATTAAAACATTTAAAAGCATCTTTGTTTTGTCTGGTCACTACACCTGCTTTTGATGGCTGAACAATCAAGTTTTCTCCTCTCAATAAATCACTGCCTAAATTATGCATTGGATTGGCATATTAACTTTTCAAACCATAGCATTTCTACCCAACGTCCAACTGCTTAAAGAATGTACAATTTACCTGTAGTTTGGATCTTTTGAGCTGCTCCAATAGAATTTGCTCCTGCAAGATGAAACTTCAGTTTAAGGGCACTGAACACAGCTTTACAGAGTACAACTTTGACAATCTCTTTCAATAATGGAAGAGTAATAGCCCACGATTAGGCTCTGAGGTGAGCACTAGATATGAGATAAATAATAGCATTAATTTAAGTTTCTTAATTAGCACCATTTAATACTTTTCAGCACCTTTTGTTCCTCAACTGATAATAACCCTTCATTTAGTTGATGCTCCAGCTGTTTCAGTTCTTTGAAACTCAGACCATCCAGCTCCTTACCATTAAGCCGCCTGCAATTCAGAACTGAAATTAGATAATGGAATATCGATGTACATGATCCAGATTCATGCATTTTTCAACTTATTTTATGAAGTTGAGGCCATTGAATTACTAATAGAAACAATTTTTCCTCTTGGAAAACTAAAAATTACAAAATCCATTTCCCTTGACCACATTAGAAGAAAGAAAATGTGATGTCTTGGTATCAATATGATTTTTCCCTTCTTGAGATTTTTCAAGGCCACTAATTTAAACCAAATCATGGGACAAGCAATCATTTTCATTTCTACCACATGGTTATATTTTCTTTCACTTTCACTACCATTTCCTTAGTTATGTAATTTGCAAAAAATAGAAGCAAAATGACATACACGTATGCCGCACGTAGCCTTATGTACTCCTCTTTCAGGGTGTTGACATCAATTGGTTGCGAGTTCTGCTTATTCAACCAATGACAAAAACCAGCATCAGGGATGTAATTATTATTCATAGCAAAAGGATTAATGTAAAGTAAAATAAATGCAAATGAGAGCTACTAATCAAATCCATCTATATAACGTACATCTTAATTGGAAATGCAAAGAAAATTTGTATGAATGTAGCTTACCTCCGCTTTTTGTTCATCAGAAGGATGTTCCTGAGACTGACCCACTGCCAGGCCTCTGCTGTACCTTAAAAGAGTGTGTTCCATGCTACATTGATAAAAAAAAAAAAAAGAAAAAAGTTGTATTCATTTTGAGACTTGGGGGACATCTTTTGTCCTACAATATTTGGGCTTGAGCCCATGTAAATTTAGGTCAGCTTAGTTTCAGCTATATTTTCATGTAGCAAAAGAAGAAAAAAAAAAAAACAAAAGAAGGCGAAAAAGTGCACCATATGCTACTATCTACAGATTTTTTTTTTCCCATTTTTAGTGGTTTTCCAGTTCATGGGTTTATCCATTTTTTTCTTGTTAAGAACTTCCCACAAAGCTAATGACTTCCTTTCTTTCTTTCTTTCTTTCTTCTCTGCAACTTTTTTTTCCCAAAAAAAATAATGGAAACCAATCAAAACTCGATTCCAACCAAAAAAAAATCCCGTATATACAAAAAAGAAGACTTGGAATGCAAGGTTACGTTCATGATTAAAAACCCTGTTTTCAATCATTAAAAATCATATAAAAAATCCAAAAAAAATTGTTTTAAAAAGAATACTGAAACCTAAAAGGTTTACGTACCTGGTGCTAGACCATTGATAAACCTTGCCGGTGTTAGAGAAAATAATGACGCCAACCTCTGCATCACATAAAACGGACAGCTCTCTAGCCTTCTTCAACAACCCATTACGCCGCTTTGAGAACGTTACTTGCCTGCTATTCAAGTTCTCAATCTTTTTTATCTCAATCTTCCCTCTACCCATCTTCCCTTCTTTTCTTTCTCAGAAAAAAAAAAAAAAAACAAAACCCAAATTTCTTTATTTCTTTCTTTCTTTTCTTTGTTTTTCAAAGCAGTGCTGATTGACAACACGAGCAAAGAAGACAGAAAAAATTGCAGGAGATTGCAAAAGTATTTTATGAGAAGAAAGTAGTAATGTTTATATATAACTACGTTTCTTAAATGGAATGGGATTCTGTGGGACAAATAATGAAGGAAAGTGTGACCAAAATTAGGGTATATTATGGAAAGGTGACAGATTAGATACTATATCTAGCAATTCTCCAAATATGGAATTCTAATTATTATAAGAGTAGGTTATTTGGATCTTTCCTTCTTTTAGGACTTTTACTCAGATGTCTTTGTCATTTTACTCAAAATGGATTTCATTTTTGGTTAGGTTTTTTTTTATTGTTTTGTTAATAAAATATTTAAACCCAACAGTTCTTTTTTAATTTTTAAATTATTTATATATAAATAAATTATTAATGAATATTAATTTTTTATTACTTGACAAGTTTATCAACTCACTATATCTCCATTCATTCAATCATAAAATACATAGCATGTTCTTTCCAAAAGCAGGTTGAGCACGCAAAATTTGCAATTGTTAATGAGATTTTTTTCATTTTTTTTCTTTTAACCGAAAGGTTTAAAGGGCTTTATATCGTTAATAAAAACCCTTCTGTTTAAATTGATTATACTAAATGCAAATGAAATAGAAAAATTATATTGTTGGTAACTTTCTCTCTTCAGAAAAGCTGTTTCTAAACACATCCTTGCTGAATTTGTGGCAATAATTGTCAAATGACAGAGCGTTCTACTGTTGGTAAATCTTGAAAGGCGAGGTTTCCCAATGCTTTTGCCCACTAAATTTGTTTTCAACCATTCTTAGAATTTTTTGCTCTTTGGGTATTCCCCAATTCTTCCAATTTTTTTCCGAGTTTGTTCTTTATTCATGAAATATTTTCTTGACATCCTGACTTTTAGAGAATTTGATTAAGAGTAGTAATTATTCAATCATGTTGTTTTGTTCAACCAATTTATCCAAACTCATTTAAGAAGTTTATTATTTTTATCTAAACCTTAAAATAACAAAGGAATCTTTGGACAAATTTATAAATAACTCGTGGATTTTCAAAGCTAAACTATTAACGTTAAGTTTAACGTTATGTTTGGATAGATATTAATAAATGAAAAGAAATAAAAGAAAAAAAGTTTTTTTTTTAAAATATATATATATGTACCTTTTATTTGAATAGTTAAAATTAATAAAAGAAATAAAAGAAAATGAAGTGAATTTTAACAACTATTATTTGAATAAATAGTGAAAAGGATAAGAAATAATTTATTATAATATTTTTTTTCAATTATAACCTTTCTTTTAATAAAGTAACACATAATATACAAATATATCTTTATATTACTTAATTTGTATAAATAAAATTATTTGAACAAAATTAACTATATTTAATACGATAAGATATATTAGTTAATTATTGATTTATTCTTAATTTTGTGTTTAATTTAATATTTTAATTTATTCTGACAATAATTTAACTTGTTTTGTTGTTAAAACTTAAAAAATCATAAAATATTTATAAATTGTGATGTTATATAAAAATACTCATAAAAAAAATTATCTTGATAGAAGGTGTCAATTATATAATAAAATCTAATCTCATAATAAAAATAAGGATATAATAGTTTTTTACCTTTCATTTTCTTAGCTTTTCCTTTAAATTGAAATATTAAAAAAGTGAGGATTATAAAGAAAACAAAAATTTATTGGTTTCTACCCATTTTCTTTCATTTAAATTATCTAAACAAAAAAAATTTTTTTTATTTTCATTGCTTTCTTTTGTTTTCCTTTCTTTTCCTTCTCTGCTCTCAATCCAAACATAGAGTAAAACAACTCGAAAGGAGAGGACATTAAGCTACATCAATGGTAGATTTTGATGTTTGATTTTGATATTTGATTTTGAGAGAACCAATTAAAAGTTTAAAATTATATATTTTTTATTTGAGTTGTACTACAATATGTTTTATTAACATAAAACATATATATAATAATATACTAAAAAAAACAAACTTATAAAATCTTAAATTTTATTAATTCAAAATAAAAGTATAAGAAATTAAAATATAACAAATAAATAATTTTATTTAAAATTGTGAGCAATGTTCTTTTCCAAAAAAAATAAAATTTTCAACAATTGAATTTGAACTATTTTTTTTTTTTTTTATGTTGACAACTAAATTATCTATAAAAAAATGCATCTTTCATCTTATTTCATAATCTTATTTTGATGACTTTTATAGATGACAATATTCATTTAGCTCACCTGTTGTTGTAGATACCATTTTTTAATTTTTATCAAAATAAGACACAACGGTCATAAAGAAGATAACTTTTGATATTTGACATCATTGTACTTGTCATGCTCAAAATGTTTCAATTGAAATTTCAAATTTAATTGATCTCATTTAGTAGCAACTAAAATTTAAAAAGTTAAATAAATTTTTTTAAAAATTCACATGAATTTTGACTTAATATTTGTTATAAAAATATCATTTTAAGTATTTGTCGATAATGATTAGTAAATAAAATAAATAGAGAAATATCAATTTAATTTTATCCTTTTAATTTAAAAATCTAAATTAAAATATTCTAATTTAAATTTATTTAATACAAATATAGATCCATATATAAATAAAAAAGAAATTTGAAAACCTAGCCATGCTTACCATCCGCCCTGAGCTATATAAAATAACTTTCATGAGTTTACACGCCAATCCCCTTGCTATCGTTTATACTTCATAAAATAAAGCTATATAATATTGCTTGCATGCACCATCCTATTATTGCTTGCATGCATCATGGTAAGTTCATAAAGTGGGATTTAGTTATAAAAAAATTGTAAACCCTGCATCTATTAATTATGATTAATCATTTGTCAAATTTATCACTTTGTTTATGTGAAAATTGTGAATGTTTTAAATTTACTACTAATCTTCCATTGGTACAATTTTATTATCATATTTTTAATTTTGAAATAAGTTTACATCATATTTAATTTTGAAGTAAATTTGATCAAGATGTAACAATGAAGCCATGTTTTATAGAATATTTAGTCAAAGTCTGTTTTATAATTAAAAAAAAAAAAAGAATTTTAAAAATGATATGATATGAAAAAATAGTCATAAAGCTAAAATTTAAAAATATTTTATTTTTCTTTCATCATGCCATTTTCTATTAAATAAAATATCAAATCATGATATTTTATTTAAAATTAGAAATATGATAGTCAATTAATTTACTCCAAAATTAGAAATATGATTATAAAATTATATTCTTTTTTGAATTATAAAATATTTTTTAAAAAATATTCTACAAAATAGTCTCCAATTATTATATTTTGATCAAATTTACTCCAAAATTAAAAATATAATGATACATTTGTTTCAAAATTAGAAATATAATACTAAAATTACATCAATTAAAAATTAGTGATAAATTTGATATATTTAAATGCATAAAATGTTAATTTTATACCTAATTTTTATATTAATTAATAAATTAATACAACAACAAAAAAATTAAATTATATATCCTATAACTCCAAGGAAGTCAGGTGTATTAAAAATAAAAAAAAAAATCATATTAGATCACTATTTTGAAATTAATAAATTAATACGATAAATAAAAATATAATCATATTTTAATCATATTTGTTTTGTGTAAAGAATAGAAATTTTGTTAATAGCGTATAAAAATTAAAGATGCATAACACTATCAAACTTGGAAATAAATCCAATAATTACCACAGAAAATCTCAAAAGTCAAAACTGCGTCCCTGTCAAATGTTACTATACTTAGTATCCCGAATTTTTTGGACCATTTATTCCTAAAACAAAAGGCAGTTTTTAGATTTTAATTGAATTTAAACACCATGCATACCTCATGCACAAATGTTGTTCGTGTCTTATACACACATAATTCACAAGAGAAATGTCCTCCACGCCCAGTTTAAATCATCGCCTAAAAAGAAAAAGCTCAACCTCAAAAACCCATATTTCAAGCCCAATCTTTAACTACCGACGTCTTTCCTTCCACGGTAAATCTCATCAGTAGATTCAAATCTCTCACGTGGCATAATCAACGGATAAGATTTTGTCCCGCTAGGATTAATGCATTCAATTCAAATTCTACCCCCAATGTTAATCCATTCATTTCAAATTCTGTCCCTAAAATTACTGTTACGATTTTGAATACCTGCCAAACACCAAAGCAAAAAACACTAGAAGAAATGACAAAAAAAAAAAAAGAACTGCAATATAAATGTAAAATACTGAAAAAAACACCTCACCCCTTAAAAAGAAAAAAAAAATCTTTGGATTTGATCTTATCTTTGATCGTGGAGTACTAATATTTTCTCTCTCCAAATCCCTTTTCTTTTTTTCTAAGTCTTTTTTATTATTATTTTTTTAAATTCTTCTCTTCAAAAAAGATACCTGAAAAGATTATCAAAGTATGTTCCTTTATTCAAGTTTTTCATTTTTAATATATTGGGAGATGAATGAATTGATAGGTATTTATTGCTTTGTCATTAAATATTTAAAGATTGAGATTTTTTTCTCTGTTTTAAACTTTGTTCTAATGAGTTTATTTGATATTGAAATGAAGAAAAAGGTAGAAGGTATCGAGATGGAGTATGTTAAAAAAAATAACAATGGCATAACACCACTAATGCTTGATTTAGTCAAGATCACACATGCAAACTATGATGTCACCTTTCAAAGGGGATGTTATCCAATGTAAGGATTTATTCTTGGTGTTTTAGGCAACATCAGCGGCATGCACAGGCTTGGCCAAGTTTCATCACTTGCAAGCTCATGGTACTTACAGTAGTGCTCATACATAATATTACACTATTGGATGACATTACATTCTTGAATGACATTGCAATCCATCTAGGAAGCATATAAGTACTTTTGTTCATATCATTTAGTAAATTCGGCTCACATAAGTTTCTTAGGAATAGGTAATGCTTGGTTTAGTTTGCTTTTGATTTTGTAAGAACAAGAAACAAGAAATTAAGATAAGTGTGGCATTTGGAAGGACTCATGTAAAATTTTAGTTTTAGTTTTTAATACCTAAAAGAATATCTCTCTTTCTTTTATGCTCTATTGTTTTATTTTTACACATTGAGAAAAATGTGTTATTTAAGTTATGGGAAAGAAAATTTTGAACAAAAATTTTAATGGTATAAGTAACAACATTTGCGCCATTTCCAACATACATGGACACCTTTCCCATCTTAAGGCATCTACTATTCTTTAATCCCTGTCTGTTATTATATAAGTGAAAATCAGATGTTTAAAAAAG